CAGGAATATAGAGGGAGTCCTCTGAAGTCAAAAGGGAGAAACCACGCAGATCTACACCACAGTTCTTATCTGACGACTAAGCCAAAGTCCAGAAGTCATGCTCGGCACCAATGAGCTGCTTGATAGGAATGTATTTTTCTTGGTTTAATCAGAGCAAAACCATAGATTTCACTGTCAGTTTCCACTATAGGATCTGATATAAACCCCTTCCTAATCAAAGAGTATATTGCAGAGCTTTACCGCTCTACTTTCTCCTCTCCTCCAAAAGCCTATGTATGTGTGTTACACACATAAAGCAACATGGCGCTGTAGCAAAAAAAAGCATTTTTGCTGTGGCTAGCAAAAAGCATACAGGAGAAGAACACAGGGAAGAACTTTTGTTTGGTCTCCCTTTTAAACTTTTCCAATTCCTTCAAAAATAGAGCATAATCCTTGTTCACTAAAAAAAGTGGACAAGAATTACATTTGTGGAGAAGTAGGTTCCCTCTCCTCCTGAAACCAGTGGATTTTCTGATCTTTCAACTCTTTCCTGTCTTAAGACTTCTTCAGAGAGAAGAAAAACAAGAAGATGAGCAATGTGAGTACGTACAGACAATACTTCAGTTACTAAGCAACATTTCTTTCAAATAGTTCGCGTCTTCTAGTGTTAAAATACGATACCGCGGAATAAATCTAAGGAGCTAAATGTAGCTGCAATCCTATAGCAGTCATCACAAGCAAATTAGTGCTATATAAAGGTGTAAAGAGATGTATATTACCTATTGTAATAGGAAAATAGATGAAAACTGACATTTAAATGCATAACAACTCCCTCTTGTACACAGAATATATGCAGAAAAAATAATACAGAACTTAGAAAGTTTAAATCAAAGAACTAGTTTATGGATGTCTGCAGACAAAAGACAATGCTTTCCATATGAGAAAACATCACAAGTAAAAGGTCTTCCTCTAGTGTCAAAGGACCTTTCCCAAAAATTTAAGTCTTTGAACAAAGAATCCAATCCTTTGAAGAGAACCTGGTAGGAGGGATGCATAAGAAGCAATATGGCACACGACCTAGGAACTGGTATGGAGGAAACCTTCACAACATACCCAAGCTAAAGAGCGTCCAGTAACCCCATGCTAAACGGAAACCAACTAAAGTATTCCCCAAAAAGGCACAGATGGGTAGAATGGATCTTGAACTTTTTCCTCGGATCTTCACATATTAGAAAGAGAGCTCGTAACACACCAACAGCTGAAACTTTTCTGAAGCTTTTTACCCTGCTGTCTCTTCTGTTATGTTAGTGATGTCTTTGCACTTTCAGTTGGAAGCTTAAGGAGGGAAAAGAATTTGCTCTGTATTAAGAGGAGGATGAAATGAAGAGCTCTAACTTTTGATTTAAAGAGACCAAGTAATATTAACTCTGTTTCCATCATTTCTCACAGAAGTCCGATGACTTGTGACTTAATGGATCTCTGTAGGGCAACTGATGTCCCTATCCAAATCATCTGAGTCGCTGTAATGGGCCCATAAATGCGTTTCAACACTACACTACTCACCAGCTTCTCTGCTAATCCTCAGAAAGGTCGTCAGTAAGGGGGGAGATCTATTCCAAGAGCTGAAATTGATACCAAGAAGTTAAAGCTAGATAATTGGCCACTCATTTGCCTAGGGTCCTTTCTCCCTCCAGAAGAAGCGCTCCACTAAAACCCAACCACCTCTGCTGATCTATTTCTCTAATGAAAGAGAAATGGCATTTCTCGTTGACTATTAATGTTATCCATGCATCAAAAACAAGATTAGTAAAGATTACGTTGGTTTAAGAATATCCAAGAACTGGTGCATGTTTTCCATTTCTTGGGCCTTTTCCTAAATCTGAGACCCTTTCACTATTTCTTGAAGCTGCCTAAAATAGTCAAAAGCAAAGTAAAAGTGATATTTTTGGAAGTGACTGAAAATTGTTTTACTCCAAAGTTCTATCTGTGTGATTTAGAACTACTGCTGCTTCTCATCCAGAAGCATGGCTGTGTACAGCAACCAAGAGAAAGAATCATGCTACAGGGAACTAGCACATTATCTTGGAAGTGGCAAAGAATGAAGAGCAGCAACAAGAAATTGGTAGTTTTCTAAACAGATCATCTCAAACAATTTTCAGTCTGTAATATGTTGAAAGGAGATCCTGGCAGAAAGATGCTGAAACACAACCATCAGAGGATGGACCAGAGCAAAGGAAAGGTAGTATTGTTAGGGAAAACTAAGGACCCGGGGCCATGTATAACTGAACTTTCAAGTAGTGGAGCACAGCAGAGACTAGAAACTGGACTATCTTTTGGGACCCAGCTGCCAAAACCGTTTTTGTGACAGGGGACTTGTTAGAGAACAAAGCTGTTGAAATGGATGGTGTTTTGTTTCCTAAGTACAGAAAAGGTTTCTTTTGATATCTAAGGAACCAAATTCTATATCCTAGGGAGGCAACAGAAAAAGAAACTGCATAGCACTGGTTTGGGAAATGCAGGCTACGGAATAAAGATAATGATGACAAATAGAACAATTTTTTTTTCAGGCATAAAGGAGGAAGGATATGTTTTCTTTCAATAGCGCTGTTTCTTGTTGTGTGAAATTATATTTGGCAATATGAAAATAATTCAGTATTACAGCTAGGGCCTGCCCTGGAAAGATATACCTGGCAACAGTACTGTAAGATTAGGGCTGACAGACTGAGTGTAAAAAGCTCCTTCAGTCTCATCTCGGGAGAGAGACCCCTCTTTGTTCTCATGCAGAAGTGCTGCTACAGGCTTCTTCTCTCCACTTCCCCACGCTTCCATTACTGACCACCAGCAGGGACGGGCCATCAGGGCAGAAGTTTGGTTCAGCATATAAATGTACGATGATTAAAGTGCTGTTAGGAAAAGGAGTCCTGACCACTAACAATCAAAACAGAAAAGTACAGAACGCTTAGGAATGGTTGCTTAGAAGGAAAAAAACCCTAAACTCCAACCAGCTGGCTTTGAAGGTAAAGGAGCAGCAAACATCTGCAAGACAAAAAGTTCTCAAAAATAATATTCTTAATAGCAAAGTAAACCAGATTTCACATTCAATGTTTCAGTGTTACAAAGCTTCAGGATTATGAGGGTCACATTTCTTAAAGCTTTAACTCAAACATCTCTTCTGGAAGGCTTTCATCGAGTTTCATTTCAAATGTAATACTTGAAAAATTTACATCCGTTCCATGTTTCTCATCTAAAGTTGCAACTGTGGACTCTAAGCATTTATCAAAAGCGCATGAGCCTGCAGAAAGAGAGTCCCCTTCCATTTGTATAAATAAGATCTTTTTGATCAGAGAATCATCATCTCTCTTCCTTCAAAAGGAGAAGAAGAGCAAAGAGAGTCTCACCAAGCCAAAGGTTCACCTGCTCTGACAGAGCAGAACTAACTCCTGCCTTGGCCCTGGGGCACTTCACACCCAGATGTGGGGAGTCTGGAATATAGAATAGTTCAGAAGTCCTAGAAAGCACATGTCAGACATCTCATTTGATCCTCTTCCTTGCTCGGAGGCTGCTCTGTAGTTAGCAATTTCTCCGTGCATCATCTACTGTTTAAACATATTTTTAACGTAGGTAAATGCTCAAAGAGCAACTGATGTTACAAATAGATAAGAATGCTTTCTCAGTGTGACTGACATTAACTTAAAACAGGTATAAATCCAACTTTCTACTTACCATTTTAACCTCCACTTTTCTTGGAGGTGCCATTAAAGATGGATTCCTATGGTTTTGTTCTGCTTTTTCCCATTACCTAATTTTTGCAGTATAGGATTTGAGTATACTTTTAAGTACTAGAGGCAATGCTAAAATACAGATAGGCACTTTTATGAAATACATGCGAAGATATGTAGCCCTTTAAAAGCAGATCTTTTAAGCAATCCAAGGGTGGTGTTTTGGGGGCTTTTTGAGAGTTACTTATTAGAAAGCTGCAGTGAGTTAAAGTAGGTATTTACCTGATTGAAAATATCTCCTCGAACAACTTCACAATCGACTTTGTATTTACAGATCAGGCAGGAAGCTGTTGCAAAGGAACCTGAGGGGAAAAACCCGTATGGTAGAAATAAGGATTTTCAGTCATTCAGATTTGGTCTTTTTACCCAACCTCTTTTGACACAAAGGCTGTTATGCTGCAATGCTATAAAAATCAGTCATTAAAAAGTAATTTAAAATAAAGATAAGATACTTGTAGTACTAAAAATAGTTCTTCTAGATGTTAGTCAGCAGAAATCTTGTTTTAGGAGTAGGATATACCACATACATGTCAACAAAAATTATGTTGTGTCCTCTCATTCCCCCAACCTGTGCAAGCATATACAAGGAGGAGAGAACAGAACCTTCCCTTTTCCTCTTTACACAATTAACGGTAGCAGCAACAGCCCTGCAAACAGCAGTGGCAGGACATGAACCCACGTGAACTCAAGAAACTGTAGTTATCAAAGGACAAAACAACTAAGAAAATGCATGAGTAAGGACTTCAGCAGGGATTGAAGTGATTGAGAGCGGCCCTGAGGAGAAGGACTGGTAGATGAAAAGCTGGACATGACCCGGGAATGTGCTCTCGCAGCCCAGAAAGCTCTGAACTTGGTATCAAGCTTAGCTACCGTGTTTATATTTGGCAAGACGGTGTTAAGTTGGTTGCTCCATCCAGCCACTTGGTAGCTCTAACTGGCCTGTTTCTAAAGCAGCTGAAGGTGATGCCCAAGTATCTGGTAGAGGATTCATGTCTCTATCTGTCTAAAGGGAAAGCTTATCAAGTGGCTATCACACCAAAATACACAGTCACTGTGGCAAACTAGAGTGGCCTTTTGGTGTGCACGTGTCCAGGAGAGAAAGGCCTACAAGGCCTTTTATCTGCTGAAGGAATAATGCTGGAAGCTGACAGAATGCTGAAGAATGAAGTGAAAAAATGACAAATTTTCTCCTAACCATGAAACAAGGCTTAAAAAAAAATAATAATTTTTTTTGGAGATATTTTTGACCCTGCCCTGGAATGTGCCAGTCATACAGTAGAAGTCTGAAGCTCTCCAATCTCTAATGGTGACAACGAGGGCAGTAGGAAAGCCCTGTGTCCAAGTAACGTACAAGGGGGTACAAAAGTCTCTCTTCAAAAGGAAACTTTTAGAAAGGTAACCATTAAGATGTTGAAAGCTTTGCAGAAGCTAGGAAAGGCTAAAAATCTCAGGTACCAAAAACTTTATCTGGAGTATTATTTTAAACCACTCAAACCAAAGATATTTTCTGCTCATAACCTATGCACAGCAGCCAACCAACACTTACACTGCTAAATGAAGGGATTCTGGGACTAAGTACAGTATCCAAATATGCTTTGGGGGTATCATATGTGGGTAAAACAGAGTGAAAGCACAGAAAAACTTGGAGCAGATCATTTACGAACAACATGGCGGTTCAGGTCTGCTAATCACTGCTGGCATGGAAAGTGTACAGCTTCTGAACTGCTTGCTCAGCATGGCAACTCCCAGAACTTGAGGGGTTCCAAAGATTGCAGGAAGTATGACAGTTATTATTTGCTCATTATAATCTGTTTATAGTAATAATTTAGTCCTTTTTGCAGCGTGTTAGGGACACGCCTGTCAGGCTAGCAGACCTAACCCTGTCTGAGGCATCTGTTGCCACCTACTTGCAACTGTATTATGTGAGTTATTTTTCACCCTCAAAAGGACTCGATCAAGAAGTTATGCTGCCCCGTACACAAGTCGTGTAGCCAGCAAGCCACTGCCTCTGATTGCTCAGCTACAGCAATGGCAAGGAATATGATCTAATTCCAGACATGCTGGTTGAATGCAAAAGCCATTTTAAATTCAGAAAATGCATCCAAGACACAGTAGTTTTCATAGTAGCAACCGTACTGTAGGTCTGCAGTGTGAAGTGGGTTCAGAGGCTCATATATGAACGCCTCAAATCATTACAAGGTTCCTTGTCATTTGGCACACCGGTGATTAACTTGCCGTTGCCACCGCTAGCCAAAAAAAACCCAGAATAAATATAGCAGTATGAACCCTTATGTAACAGAGTTTCAGTTTCTCTTTAGCCACTACCAGTGTCAACTAGCATTTGTTAAAGAGCAGCATAACTGTATGTCAGGTAAAGCTTGATACGCTCAAAACAGCCTTTGCTAATTTCCAAAGGCCTCAAAATCTCCAAGTCCATAGCATGTTTTTAAAGAATCTTCTTAATTTAAAATCAACTTATACAGGACATAAACTAAAGATGGTCTGAAATCTAATTACTGTAGCATGCAACTGAAAAAAATGGGAAGCTTGAGTGTGGCAGTGATGTGCAAAAACACAGCTGTGTAAGAAGTTCATGATAAATACCTCACACGGAATGACAACCAAAAGAAAATGCCTGACACCCTAAGCACAAATGGCAACTAGAGATTTGGGTTATTTGACAGGTAGGATTCTACAGCGTGCTGTTTGGTCACCATGACAGAGCACCATGTTTGCTCTGTCTGAAAAAAGAAAATTGATGAATGTGGCACTGAGCTAAGCTTTGTAGATAAGGAAATCAAGTGAGTTTGGTCCCTGGAAAAGGTGGAATTAGACAGACAGGTCTTACAGACATGCCAACACTGCTTTTAAACAATGTATTTGCCAGAAGTCTACTAAATGATCCAAACATGCACTTGAAGAACTAATTTTCTGCGTCCTTCCCTTAAAAATGAATCCTTGGACTTTTAGCTTGACATTTGCAAGTCCTTGGAAATGGAAAGCATATCAAGCAACTATTAAGAGATTCCACTTAATTTGGTATCATAATTACAGAATGTGTATGACACTGAAAGTGTAACAAGATGATCTTCAATTCAACTGAACAGAACTGGTGATTAATGCACAGTATTTTATACATGAGGTAAAGTCACTGAAGTGTCACGATATTTTAAGATTTCAATAGAATATAACCTAAACAAAGAATCAGGTAACAGCCAAAATCCATTTCATTGATAGTGAGAGGGACCTGCACAAAGCCTGATTTCCACACCATGTTCTCACACATGAATACAGAGAAGCACCAAATACATTTTAAAAGTTAAGGTCTAAGCTCGTGCGAACAGGGTGTGGATCTTCACTGATACACAAAGACCACCATTTATCAAGCATAATTCTTGAAAGAAGTATTTCCACTTGAAACACTTCTGATTTAAATACTTAAGCTACCTAAAAAAAAAAAAATATCAACATTTTAAAAGCAGAATATTTGTTGCCAAGAGATACCAATTCAAGAAAAAAAAAAAAAAACTGAACTGCAATAGCGATTACCTTGTCAGATGCCCCAGTAAATACCATTCCTACACATAAGAAAAGTGAAACCAAAACCACTAACCGTGACACTGTATTATCCTTTGGATTCCTGCAACCTGTTCCAATGTGTCTATGTTCTGAGTATAGTTGCGAAGTAGTTTTCCTTCTTTATCCATCAAAGCTATGAACTTGTGACAGAGAGATGGCTGGAATTGTCCTGGATAGATTTCCTAGGGAATTCAGAAGTACGTTAGAAAGTGTAAACGGGTGGATACACAATGTCTTTATTTCAACTGCAGCAATTCACACAGAGCTAAATATTATCAATAATGATTATGTCAGCAGTTAACGTCACTCCCTTTGCATTTTGCCATTTCTCTCAGATCCAACTCTTCTACCAACAGCTGAGCTTCTGATCATGTCAGGGTGACGTATATGGTTTAACTGCAGTCTGACAAAAATTTCATGAGGAATTTGGATTCTGGTCTTTCGGTTTGGGATAAGCAGTTTTTACTCCTCAGCATTATCAGCAGCCGTTCCTAGAAGATGGAAGCCCAGAAAGCAGAATGACATTGGATATAAAGAGGAAGACAGGTGGTACTCAGACCAGCTTTGCCAGTTTAGCCAGTTAGAGCAGTCATCCAATTAAAACCATACGGCTTAGCAGAGCAATTCCACCGTGCCTGATAGATGCTTAGCCCTCCCATTAGATCAAGGTAAAGGAGGAAGGTATATCTCAAGAGCATATGGGAAAAAATGTAGGCGCTTTTGTAGAATGGTTTGATGTCTGCTCACAGGAGCCTGCCAAAAGGAAAAATTACATGTGGGCACCCAGCTGAAAGCGTCACACTAGGAATCTCTGCCTGGAGTCGACCACCCCGGGTGGCACCTCTGGTTGCTGTGTGACAAAGAGGACAGCAGCAGCAGCACCACCACTCTGCTGCTCAGGAGGACTTATTCAGGGGAGGAACTTGAATTCCAGAACCTCTGCTCTCCAGTCACTCTCTCACCACGGAACAGCAACTGGGCTGGAGTCCCACCTGGGCAAGTGAGGCCTTTTTACAGAAAAAGCACAAGAGTCACTGGCCAAAAGAAAGTTAACAAGAAGGAGGCTGCTGCCTACCTTTACCAGTAGATACTTAAAGCTGAACGAAAAGTTCCAGCACAACAGTGAACTGTTAAATTAATCTTTGTGACGGCTCTGCCTTCAGCTACCAGATAGCCTAACTATTAACAAACAAAAAAGACTTTTTGAAAGCATTTGTTTTTCCCCAAAATATTTCAAGTTACTCATAATTCTGAAGCTACATGGGTCTTTGGAGTTAAACTGCAGCAATGATCAATGACTGCTCATAGTGCTATTACCTAGATTATGACTAGGCTATTACACAATTATAATCAGATATTCATGTGGTCCTAACAGCTTTTATATCTAAGTCTGAAGAAGCAAGACATGTTCTGCCACTGAGCTCTGCAAATTTATTTGGCTGTTCTTTGCCCCTAGAATTAAAGGAACTTAAGATTTCACAGAGTAAGAAATCAATATTCTAACTGAGCTGATGGAGAGAAAAGGAGAAGGAGGAGAAATTATTTTAGTAAAAAACTATCAGCCAAATTGGATTTGGACTCTTCTGGTAAAACCTGTCTAGACACAAGCTTCAAGTAAGTTGGTTTTTTTTTGTTTGCTGTGGGTTTTTTGTTTTTTTTTTTGTTGTTCTTTTTTTAATATTAAAAACCAACGAACTGAGTATACCAGCGAGCATCAAAACATGTTAGTATCTGGATAGGTGGCTTTCAGAGAAAGCCAAGCAGCTGAAGAATGCATGCATTTTTCTTTTCCAATCTTTATAACATAATAGAGCAGTAGTATAAATTGTGAGCAAAGGGAGAAAGGAGTGAGCACAACTAGTAGTGATTGATTTTCACAAGTCCTTACTGGTCCTGTAGTAATTCTTATAATATTTTGGTTTTTATTTTTTTGTCCCAAGAACATTCCAGACTAAATGCAATTATTTTTTTGTTTCTACATATGTCTACAGCTTCTACAATTCCTTCTTGTCTCGGAGAGGTACTCCCTGCTTTTTAAACTATTTAATATCACTAACATCTTTCCAAAAACTGCTGTGTTCTCCCTTTTAAGCAAACACAGTCCCTGCAAAAAGGCTTTAATTCTCCAAGATGTACAGATCCTTGTGATAGCTACATCAAAACCTGAAACAAGAACTTACTAGTGCATAAAACTGCTTTAGTCCTCTTTACTGTAAATACAGTGATAAAATGTGAATACATTGTATGACATTGAAGAGCATGCCATAGCATATCAAATTCAAATGTAGCTTTCCACATTACTCCTGTGCTGGCCAAAAGTTTCTCATATTCTTTCATTTTTCAGAGAAAGTAACAGCAGCTAAGATTACTGAGGTTTGATCAAATAACTACAAGTTTGTATTTATCCTCCCTAGAATTAGAGACGCCATCTAGAATGGTTGTCTATATACTGAACTTACAACAAGAGCAGTAAAAATAAGCTTAAAAAAAAAAAAAGAGAGAGAATGTTGCTAAATATTTCTAATAAGGCTAATATGTGGTTGCATACGATGACTGAAGTAACACTGAGAATAGAAAATCGATACATTGCAAAGACCTGCCCAAGGAGAGAGTTATTATGCCACTGAATGAAGTCTCTCATTAAAGTAAATTCAATATATTAACATACTTTTCTATCTTGTCTAAAAAAGATGACAAAGATACCCTTTTGTTAACTGAATAGTTTTGTATCTGATTTATGCATTTTAATACTGTTATCTGTCTTTACTGACCAAGATAAGAACTGTTGGAAAACCATACCTTTGCAAACTTAAAAAATGGCCTGGGATCCTTTCTGAAGTATTCTATATCAAACATTGCTTGAGGATCTGGAAGGTCTGGGAAGTCTACAGCAAGGCGTGCATAGATGCCATCTCTTGATCTAAAGTCAGGTATTCCACAAGACACAGACACCTGAAATATATTTTTGCAATCTGAAATAAGTGAAACTGCATATTTGGCTATAAAGAGTTGCTACGATACAAACTACTTGGGAAATCACGTTTCTGTATGCTCACAGTGCTCAGAGACATTCAGAACAAAACCAGTCTGGGTTCTCTGTATTTGGTGTTTTTTTTCTTTTTTTTTCTTTTTTTTTTTCTTTTTTTGGATCAATATAACAATTCCCCCATCACAAGCAGGCGAAACAGCACTGAAACAAAGTTTGACAAAAAACCCTCTAGCACAATCCAGACAGGCAGTAATGGGATATCAGAACTTACTTTTACTACTGGAAGTTTTGTAAGAAGTGAACACAAATTTAAAATACCGTTGCATTAAATTTGATTAGGAAGTGTTCATTGATCTGCCAGCTTAGGCCAGAATATTTTTTTTACATGCTATCACAGTAATAGAATAGATTACTTTTGATGAATAAACCCCTTTTGTTAAAAAACCATTGTTTATCAAAGCATTGTAGTAGTCAATAAAGACTAAAATTTATTGTCTCAGACTACCCCAAAATACTATGGGAAGAGGAGGAGAAATAGGTGTGTGAGAGCAATTACAGAAAGAGCAAGGCTGGGTAATAGGAGTAGCAGTGCTTTTCTAGCAAGCTGATTTGAATTACTCGGCTTTTCTGAATGGTGTCACACCCTCTGCGTATGAACAACACAAGCAAAAAATGATCAACTTTTGTATCGTGATCTGGTACGTAGGTATAAAGCTGCAAATGTACAACAGTTTCAAAATGTTCTTTAGTAAACCAGAGAGTAATCTTATTACCATCATAGAGCAGCACATGTTAAAAGTAAAATTTAGTCTGCTGAAATCTAATCAAACTCTCCTTATAATCCTTCCCCGCGCCCAACTCTTTTCTTTTTTTTCCGAGTCCTATTCTTCTAGCCCCTCTAGCTCCATTGGGTATTTTAAGAGATCCACTGACATTTTGTTTAAAAAATCATTGCCTTTGTTTCAAATGAAAAAATGCCTAGGATAGAAAATGTTCTGGAACAGGTAGGTGTGATCTTATTCCATAGCTATTTCGCATGGACGCAACTGTTTGAGAGTTTAAATGTTTAAGAATATTTTCTTATAAGAAGAGAGATCTTCTAATTTCCAACTTAAGCTCCAGTCTCGCAGTGTGCACCGTTCTAGCGGACAGCTGTGCCTCCTCTTCCCATCTAGCACAATTATTTGATTACGAACGTTACGAGGGTCACATCACCTCTGTGCTGTAAAGCACTGGGTAAGTATTTAACCAACTGTCTATATATTCTCTCACTGTCGTTGCAGCAATACGTACCCCAGCTCCAGTCAAGACCATTATTTTTTTGCATTCTTGTAAAAGTTTCACAGCATCATCAATAGTGTTAATGTCTTTTCGTTTTTTTCTTTTGGGTGGTTCTGAAAGAATGTTTATAACAATTTGCCACAGTGTCATATCATCCAGTTCAGGTGGAGGGATTGTTTCTGGTAGCAGGTCTTTCAGAATTGTCCGTGGGTCTGTACCTAACATGAGATGCTGCTGAACAAAAGTGTAGGGACCTAAGAAAATGAAAAAAATATATAAATATTTAGAATTGAGTCAAGTATTTCAGATGATTACGATCATTGTCCCATTTATTAATGCTTGCTACTAGAATTTTATTAATCCAATTTAATGCTTCGTCCATCAAAACCCCTGGATGCTTTGGTCTAAATTCTGAAGTGATAGTATAGCTGGGGTTTTTACTTAGTATTTTATGTGAACCCATGAAGGATTTCATAGAAAGTTAGTCAAGGTAGAAATCCCAGTTGATAGGAAACTTGATGGCTCTTAGAGGTGCACTTCTTTAGCAGCAAGATTTTCACAAGGTATCTCCATTTTATGGCTTCATTTGTATTTTCCCAACATTTTGTAAGGTATTTACAGTAATAAGTTGAAGAGACAACAAACATACATATACTTTCTAGTCAGAGTATAAAACATCACTCTAAAGAGACAAATAGGGCCCACCAGTCCATGGATTTTTGTTGTTCTTTTAGTTGCTTAACACTAATGAGTTCAGACATGACCTCCTAAAGCCATCAAATCAATCCTTCTAGAAACACTCAAGATTAGAGCGGTAGAAGAAAAATAGGTAAATCTTAAGACGCTGAACTGACTAAGAGGACCCAAACAGCTATCGCTAAGGCTACTTACAATACATATAAAGAAAACAATTGTTCTACATATTTACCCAAAAGGTACCAACAGTGATCTCGTAACGAGGGATCAGCAAAGACAATGTATGGGCAGATTTTAAGCGGAATATTGTGTTACCGTAACGTGTTCTCTTGCTGCTATTCTTATCAATACTGGCAAAACGAGTCCTGTGGTATTATCACGCCTGCGTAAGACAAAAGACCTCAAGTGCCAACCCCACTGCACCCTGGAAGCCACTGTCCCACGCAAATCACCACTGACCTTAGCAGTTATCTTGCCTCCGTGTGAGGCGAGAACTTTCTACCGAGTTCCTAACTGCCGTGCTTAACTTATCTGTTGCTAATATGCAATATATATGCAGGCTAATAATTCCCAAGCTGATGTTACACTTAGGACAGTGAGCCCTACGGACTGGCTAAAATCATACAAGAATCATTTTCTTGCTCCTTAAAGAATTCATACTAATACGTAGGCTAGAAATACGCCATAAATCTGTTCAATTGAGTGAGTCTGTGTGTATGCTTTTAATATGGATCACGGCAGGATTTCTACACAAAAAAAAAGACATTGACCATTTTAATCAAAATACAGCAAGTTGAAAGAGGTTCATTTTTAAACTCCTTAAATACCATACAGAATACAGTCAGCAACTCTAAGCTGCTCCAAAGGAGTAACTGCCAATTTTTTTGCAACAGAAGGAATCATTTGAAGACTGGGAAGAATTAAGTAACTGTTCAAAGGCAAAGAGCATCTAAGAACATTATACAGGCTTCTACCTATACGTGGTCTTGGGGTCCAATCACTAGAACTTGCATGTGAGGCTCTGTCATCTTCATCACTATCACAGGAGTGAAAACCATTGGCTATGATTTCATCGCTAAAAAGGAAGTTATCTGCAAGACAGCACAACAATGACGGGTTACACTTGAGCCACATGGCACAGGTATATATATTAAAATGTATCACAAAACCTAAAATCGTATGCTCTTACATTTGATTCCAATGAATTACAAATAGGCAGTTTTGTCACTTAGACACAGAAAATGTCGACTTTTTTTGACTGTATAGATACGCTTTCAAGCCTTCAGGAGATTTACTGCAGGATTTGCTATCTTAAAAGTGGGCTTCAGTGGGCTGGATGTTGACCTTAGTGAAATTTTCATTCTATACAGTGTTGGGCATTAAGGATTTTGTATCTCAAAAAAAAAAAAATCCAAATGCTTTAAAAGTACAATTAAAAATTACTTTTTCTTACAATTCTCACTTCATTCAGCTCACCGAGAAATTAGGATAAAATGAAACCGTGTCACCATTTAGAGACCAATCTTTGACTAGGTTTTAGGAGCACAGCGTTTTAAAAGAAACCCACCCGTACGCATTTGGCTACGACCAAGTTACAGAATTTCGTTAGGCTCTCATCTCGCAGCTGAGCTGCAGCAGGTGACCACATACACGCTTCTATGACATTTCAGTTACGACAGACAATGTGCTACCTTGAACCACCCTCACTAAGTTTATCTCATCCATTTTACCCTGCAGCTGGGTTTGGCTTAGAGTACCGCACAGTTACTTCAGCACAGCTCGTGGCCTTAAGCCAGAGTAACTCGATCTAACTTCATCACGTACTTAGACGAAGGAGTCCAAAGAAGAACGAGATACTTGTCTTACAGCATGCGTTACTAAGCTAACACATAAGGGGAAATCTAAATTTTAACCTGAGCGGCTTATTAGAGTTTAGACGACTAAACTTCTTTTATTGGCTTTATTAGAAATAGCCACAGCAACTGTAGCTTAATTTGTTGAAAATCTACGACTATGAACAAAGAACAATTTCAGTCATGCTCTCTAAAGCAAAGAATCACTGTAATAGTTTTTGACCTCTATTTGAATCAACCCCACCAATATTTTAGCTAGGTTACCTCCCTTTACTCTTAAATAAAGACCACCACAAAACACCATCATTTTTTATTCAGAGATTGTGTTGTCCTGTTCTTTCCCTTGTTGGCATAAATACTTTATTCTGATTAGAATGGGAAGAGGTAGAGGACGTAGAGGACAGAAATTTGCTTTTTGTACTTGCTGTCTTGTTCTTCCGAGACCACGGGTGCTCGCTGACGTTACTATTATTATTCATCTATGTATTTACAGCATTTCACTTCCATCTCATTATGCATTAAATCAGCCAACACGTTATGCAAAAAGCATTATGAAGAAGAAAAAAGTTGATTAGTACGCATCAGCAAGCGTGAAGCGCAAGTTTTACTAAAACGACCTTTATGCCTACCGCACAACGAATGAAAGCTGACATTGTTAAAGACCTAGCATATCCAGGTCACGTTGTCTTGTATTTACGAAACACTATGACAGATACAGGCGGGCTAAAGCGACAGTTTGAACTGTAACCCTCCCTGGGTATTCATTTGATTCCTCAAAGGACTAAAGGGGATGCTTGCCAGAAGGAAGCGACCCACAGCAAAACACGCCCGAGCATCTGAGTAACTTGAGCAAAAAGGATTTGTGTAAGGCGCTGATGAGCGATCGTGAGCTTTACTCTCCTGCTGTTCCGGTGAAGTTTTCAAATACCAAGGCTGCTCCAAGCTTATCATACAGCTCTGTTCCCTTTTGCATTGCTTTTGCCCAGGCAGAAATCTTCTGTAGGGTTTTACTATGGAGTTAAAGTATCTTTAACTGCATTCCGGGATAAAACGTCAAGACTTCACTGGCAGAATGCAGTATACTTGTACCTTTTAAGAAGTCTTTCCAAAGCACTACCTTAAAAAACAAAAGGAATAAAAAAAGCACCTCAAAACCTATCTACCTATCAGTTTCAACAATGCAATGCAAGGTGCTTTCATACTGGTACTGCCTAACCAGTACGCTTCCAGCAGGAACTGCGAAGAAACTTTGTGGAAGATTACAGGTCACTTTTGTGCTGCAGTCACCGAAATCTTAACCAAGACTGCCACTTGAAGTTATTTACAGAATTGTTCAAGACTGCTGCTCCTGTGCAAGTTTCCAAGAAACAGAAATAAAACGATTATCACGGCAGAAACTGTGAAAAGGAAACAGGGCTTATGATTTTTTCCTTTTTAATAGCTTGTTGCCAGCAACACAGCGAAGTAAACGTTTTCAGAGGCGAGAGCCGAGCCGACCTCCTCCTACGAAGCCCGGCACAAGAAACGGCGGGCTCCGACAAGGAGCGACTAGGACGAGGACTGACTAGGTTTAGAAAAACGGATGCGGCAGCTCGCTCGTCAGGGGGACGGAGGGCGCGCCGGACACCGAGCCC